ATGGCCCGCGGCCCACGCTCCGGGCGCCCGCAACCCCGCTGAGAGCCGCCGCGGCCCCCGACCCACGCGTGGGGCCCCAAGCAGCCGGGATGAGCCGCGCCGAGGTGAGCGCCCCCACCCTTGAGACCCCGGGAGGGGACCCGCCGGTCACTGGGGGTCCGCTACCCGAGAGAGTTCCCCCTCTGCCCGAGAACTTCTGGGAGGCGGGAAGCCGGAGGCTGGCAGCGAGCGGCCCCTCAAGGGCAGAGCCGCTGGGCTCTTCTCTCCGCCACCCCGACAGGGATAGGATTGGGAGCCCCCGAAGCTGAACTTTCTTCTTTGCGGTCGTTGGGGGGCGTGTGCGGGCGGCATGGAGCCGCAGTCTCTGCGGAGCCGCCCTGCCCGCCGGGGGAAGCAGTGTTTCGGGCTCGGGCTGTCTCCGCGCTTGGCGCGCGCCCGGGGCCGTACCGTCTTCGGCCTGGGAAGCGCGAGCGAGGCGCTGGGCCGGCCGGACCCGCCCGTAGGCGGCGGCGGTCAGAGCAGAATGCCGAAAGCACACACGCTCGTACCCACAAACGCACACGCACGCACACATCTGATCGCTCTGGGCAAAGCAGGCCCTCGGAGACCTGCCGGGTGGGCTGGAGCGGAGCGGCGCGGCGCGGGGGAGCCAGGGCTCCGGCTGCGCCTCCGCCCGCTGGGCGCGGAGCTCTGGGTGGGGAGTTTATTTTTGTCTCGAGCTGCAGCCGCGGCTGCTCACGGCCTAAATCCAGAGGGGCGCCTGGCGGTGGAGATGCTGGCTGTTGCTGTAGATGGAGCTGCAGCCGCTCGGCTGCTTCCCTGGGAGGTGGTGGTGGAGGAGGAGGAGAGGAGGAGGAGGTATAAGAGGAGGAGGAGGAGGAGGAGGAGGAAGGAACTCGGGCGGCTGCTGCCTCCGCCTCTGTTTTGCGTTAGCCCCCACCCCCACCCCCGCCCCCGCGCCCCTTCGCAGCCGCATTGCAAGTTTTCCGCGCGAGGATCTGTTGCTGGTGCTGGCGTCTGCAGGCTCAGCCCTCGAGGCCACCCCGGGTGGGGCGTGTGGGGAGCACCGGCCGTTCGCAGCGGCAGCAACAGGAAGCCGTGCGGTCTCCTCCCGCACCTGGGAAGGAGGCTTCTGGCCATTCCCAGAACGGGAATAGCTCCTCTCGCGCATCCGGGTGCGGAGGGGGCCGCCGGAATTTGGGGGACCAAACCCTCCGCGGGGCGCACCCCCCCCGCCCCCTCTGATGCACTCGTTTCCCGGGCGCGCTCTCTCGCTGGCCGAGGTCTCACTGCAGCCTTTCTCTCCTTCCAGTGGTGATCGCCGCTCGGGAATGCGGGTGTGAAGGGCCCGAGCTGCCGCCCAGCGGGGAAGAGACCCCGGGACGCCGGAAATCACCATCCCGAAGCTGCGAGAAGGGGGGGGAATGAGAGCATTCTTTCAGTTTGTGTGCCTTGTGGGGAATTTTTTTTTTTAATCGTTATTTTTTTTAAAAGAAACATTTCCGCGCTACTTTCTGTCATCATCTCTGGGGAAATCAGCCAGAACCACCGGAACGTAACTGAAACCAGACGAAAGAGGCAGGAGCCGAGGCAGTACCTGCAGCGTCCGGGCACCAGAGCCACCTTGGAACCGGAACGCGTCTCCGGCGGCCGCGGGGCTGCGGCTCCGCCAAACTTTGGGGCGGGCGGGGCGGGCTGGGGCGCCGAGGGGGCTTCGTAGACCGAGGGCCGCCCCCTAACCATGATGTTTCGCGACCAGGTCGGGGTGCTGGCGGGCTGGTTTAAGGGCTGGAACGAGTGCGAGCAGACTGTTGCGCTGCTGTCGCTGCTTAAGCGCGTGAGCCAGACCCAGGCCCGCTTCCTCCAGCTCTGCCTGGAGCACTCGCTGGCCGACTGCGCCGAGCTGCACGTCCTCGAAGGCGAGGCCAACAGCCCCGGTAAGTGCGCGGCTACGGCTGTCCCGCCTGTTACCCCCCTTCCTCCTTCCCCCACCCGCTCCTGTTTCCCAGCCTCCGGCCAGGGCTCCGCCCCCGGCCGCCTCTCGGCTCGTGCACGGAGGGCGCGAGCCCGGGGCCCTTGGCACCTCGCCGCCTCCGCCCCCCCTTCCCTGCCGCCCACTTACCTCCGCTGGCCGCTTTGGGGTTTTGCCCACTGTCAACTCCTTCAGCCCATTCCGTGTGGTAGCCACGGTAGCATGAATGATTGATTTTTCTCTCATGCAGTTTCCTGGGAAATAAGTAAGTCAGGTCACGTAGAGTCTGGATTTTCTGTTTTTGTTTTTTTTTTTTCCTTCTTCTTCTTCTTTTGGGCAACGTGGCTTTCTGGATTTCAGCAACATATGAAGAAGCCGGACTGCCCTTCAGAAAGCCAAGCTTTGATTAGGCTGTATGAGGAATACATGGAAATTCAATTTTATTATTCATTTTTCCCCCATGGATATTCCAGTTTTAGAGCTCTGTCTTCAGACTAAGAGGCAGGTGACACTACAGACTATTAAAATGATATTTGCAGTTTGTATTCTATGGGGTTATATTTATCAATCACGACCTTATCGTACTGACACGGATCTTGTTGAAAGGATCTTATAGAAAGGGTCTCGGTGGAGAGCAGGCATGAATCAAGGTCCGTAATGCTTTTTGTTGGAAAACTTCACTGAATGTAACAGAATTGTTTCATATTACTCTTCTAGTAGTTACAGACATCTCAACTAGTATAGAAAGTGAATATACTGGGAAGGTTCAGCAGTTTTCTATTTGCTAGCATGTGTGGTGACAGACTGAAATTATATCCTGGAGTGGGGAGGTGGGGGTGAGGTTGGGGGATGGGGAAAGGTCTGCTGGTTGTAACTTTGGATAGGGGAAATTCTTTAGTTCATGCTGCAGCAGGAGGGTGAACAGAGCCCCCAGTGTTTAGGCAGAGAAGAGAATGCAGGGTCCTCTTCCAGCTGTTCCATGTTAAAGCTGCCAGCCTGCAAGACTCAGCAGAGGTCTGGGCTGCCATTTGATGACACGGTCCAGTCCAGGGCGGCAGGGCCTGGGAGACACTAAAGTGAGTGCGTGTGCCTTCAGGGCAGCAAGAGGAGAGCGGGCCTCCTCCTTACTCCTCCTCCTCCCTGGTGTGGTGCTCTTGAGGCTGAAAACCCTTGGATGGGATGTTTCCATATATAGAATCATAGGCTGGAAGTCAGCCGGGAAATCCTTACAGCCCTTTTCCTGACCAGACAGGACCGAACCCAGAGGTCCCGGTGCTGCCAAGTGTGGAAGGCCACACTGAGAGAGATCACACAGGCCCCACTGGGATTCAGCCCGAGCCCAAACAGCCCACCCGGTTACTCATAGGGGTGGCAGGGGCAGGGCCCTTTCTGTTCAGTTCCACATTTATAAATAGCTGAAGGGCCAGCCTCCTTCATAAGGGTGTGGAAGCATAACTAGGAAAAGCCATGATCTACTCTCGACTCCTGTCCTTGATATGACAGGGTAGCCTGGTTCAGCTGCTTGATTTTGTTTTCTCAGGTTTGACAAGCAAGGTTATGTAAACTTTCGTGTGTTATAGAATGCAGAGGATTTCAGTATAGTAATTGATGTTGAATGCTTGACTTCACTGCTTGTAGGGACTATTTCAAATAATGATAATTAATCTTTAGGCGACTCAAGTGTTAGAGCAACATTTTTGCCTTTTGAGTTAAAGGAGACTTTTCCCCACGTAGCAACAGTTCAGTAAGTGAAAGCATTCAGTGTGTGGTGTAAAAAGTTGCTTACTTTAAAAACCTTGCCATTTAATAAACCAAGAAAAAAATGAACTTCTCTGAGTTTTTAAAACTCACTTGGTAATTCCTCTCCCCACCCCTCCAAATTTTATTTTACTACACTTATTTGTGTAAGCCCACCTGCTCATGCTGCCAAATGCTGTAGAGGTACCAAATCTAGAGCCATTATGTAAGACAGGGACCATTTTCCAGTTTCTGAATTAATCATTCAACCTGGAGATTTTGCTTCCTTGGAAAACTTTGCACTTGTTTTGTTGTGTGGCCAGGACAGAAATTCATTAGTGAAGTGTGTGATGGCTCAGTTTACTTCTATATGGGGATCATAAAGAGCATCAAGATGTGTCATGGTCTATCCATGTCTGGAGTATGGCTCTCTCATGTATCTGGAACCTAGCCAAGAACAAGGAAAGGGGCAGAAATGCCACTCAGCAATCAGAATAGAGGACAGAAAATGTGGGAGACTACTTCAAACCCTTTCTCAGAACATACTTACTTTAGACAACAATCCTAACATTTTTTTAATGTGAAAAATAATCCATAGCATATTAGGGGTAGCACCTTTAGAATGGGAGGAGGGGCTGCTCTAGCCAGCAGTGCAAGGTGACCCCAGACAGCTTGGCAACCGGGAAAGAGATAGAAACATTCTAACTTTAGACACAAGAATTGGGAGCAGAAGCTCTAAAGTTTGGGAACGTGAGGATAGGAGCCCTCAACTGATCTTGCAGGCATTACTCTGTAATAATGTAAATCGGTAATTACCGTTTACCATGAATGAGAGTGAACTACCAAAAAGGGTACGTTTTTAAATACACTCTTTGAGAAGAGAGGGAAATATGCCATAAACTTTGACTATATTGACATTCAAGATAATTAACCTCCAAGGCGGTTTTGGTGTGTAAAGCTCTTACCCATTCAGAAAACTAGACTGTGTAGAATGACTCATTCATTGGCTGGCTGAGGTTTCCTATACCAAAAGCATCATGTATCACTTACTTTACTTTGTAATCATCAATTAAAAAACACATATTTCTTCTGGTGTTGAGAGATTTTTAAACCTTGGTGAATGGGAACCAAATTCATATCTGAGGCATGATCTCAGCATAATAAAAAATTTAATTAGTCATAGTATGAACTTGGCTCTGTTTTCTCCAGGACTGACTTTAAATAGAGAGAGATAATTTTTCACATTAAACATGGTTTGTTTGAGATCTGTGGGATGTATTTTGATACTAACATTTTAGTCTCTTAAATTTAGCATTTATTGAGAATTTAGTGGTTCACTGGTTTATCCTTTGCCTCAGGTTTATGGTCATCTGAGATCCAAAAAAATGGTTGAGTCAATCCCTATGGGTGTGTGTGTGTGTGCGTGTGTGTGTGTGTGTGTATGTGTGTGTTTCCCTCTAGATTTGGTCAATGGGTATTGCTAATGGTCAGCTTCCTAAGTAGAGGCTGATTTCTAGAACCCTCAAATCCTAGATTAGTACTTTAGCCACCAGCCCAGATTAACCTTGAGACTTCTGGCCAGTCTCAGTTTGTAGGTTAGTGTTTCTGAGGCTAATAGGTCCTTTGATGCATAAAAATGGCAAAAATGGAACCCACTGACTTTATTTGCAGTTTCCTAAAGAGAAATAGGTTGTGTGGCATTGTTTGTTCATGACTTTTGTCATTTGGACTAGAAATATGTTTTGCAATGGAAACAGAGTAACAAATGAAGGTTCACAAGTACAATCCATAAACACAAAACAGTGCATACTTTCTGGGGCAATTGTATATGTTTGTAGTAAATAAATGGCAAAAAGATTGTTGCTTTACTTATAATTTAAATATAAGAGAAAAGATTATCTGAAATGGCAGTGCTTGAGACAGAGACAATTGTGGAAATTGAAAAAGGACCTCTGTACATATTTACTTTCATTAGAGGGTGAAGATGATGATTCTGTGATTTTTATGGTGTTTGGTTTCCATAGTGTAGGTATGCTGTACCCTGACTTGCTTTTTTAGATCACAAATGGAGTCAAAGGAAAGCAGAAGGATCGAGATTTTCCTGATGATACTGGAGAAGATCTTGTGTGTAGTTCTTCCTTTCACTTATTCATTCAGCATTCATTTTCTGACTGCCTACTGCTCTCCTGCCCCTGTGTAATGCAGTGGGGAACACAGAGGTACCTTACTATATTCCAGAGCCTGGTCCATAGATACCCAGTGTTGAGTAAATGACTAATACAGTATCATAGGTGCTGAAGCATAGATATGGGAATAAAAAGGGGTGGAGGGAGGGCTTCTGGGAGCATTGTGAACCTAGCAGCTAATTGTCTGGGGGAGTCAGAGAACATTTTACTGGGGAGGAGATATGTTTGAGTTGAATTTTGAAAGGTAAATAGGAGTTGGTTCAATATGTCCAAAGAATTGTAGAGAGTAGGCTTGAAGGCATTTTTCTTTTTTTTATTTTGAAGATTTTATTTATTTATCTGAGAGAGAGAGAGAGCACAAGTAGGCAAAGAGGCAGTCAGAGGGAGAGGGAGAAGCAGGCTCTCCACTAAGCAGGGAGCCCAACGTGGGACTCGATCCCAGGACCCTGGGATCATGACCTGAGCCGAAGGCGGACGCTTAATCAACTGAGCCACCCAGGCGCTCCATGAAGGCATTTTTCAAGCAGAAGGGATAGCTTTGATAAAAATGTTGCCTTGTTAAAGGGCCTGTGCAGGAAATAGTGAGTTCAGAGTGGCTAGAAGAGTACAGAATGCTGACCTCTAAGAGGCTGAAGTTAAAACAGAAGCTGTGGGTGTGTGGGATTTTGCCAGCTAAGGTGTTTGGACTCAGTCCTGCAGAGATGATAGAAAACCCAAGAAGGCTTTTAGGAAAGGAGTTAAAAGATGGAAGGTGTGTGTGTATGTGTGTGTGTGTGTGTATTTGTACACTTTTGGGAAAGAGCTTCTAGTATTTGCATGATCCTCTGAGAGGCAAAAATGGGAGAAGTGAGGTAAAGTTTGGTTCATTTCAGTTACCATTTTGGTCACGTGGTGGCATCATCAGCTCCGGGCAGCTTTGTTGCTCTCAGCACTGATCTGTGGGGGAGAAGAAAGGATTGATGTGGAGAAGAAAAGAAGGTATTGTCCAGGTGGGCATTTATTTATATCCATAGGAGGGCATATGTTGTAAAGGATTCTTAGA